GTTTTAACTATGTTTTGAGTGGTCCTTGATGGTATGTTCAGATAAAAAAGGTTGTCTAAATTGTGTTTTTTAGGGTGCTTGTGTTGATATAAGAAATTTATGTGGCTGTTCAGTTATCAAGGCGGGTAGTCAAGCCAAGCACCAACAACGTACTAAGTAAAAGGGCTAAGGTGAGTTCAAGTAGTCTAAAATTTGGGTACACGTCAAACTATGTATTTTACATAACTGATTCATTTCGCTTATATTTGAATAGGTGTCGTTGAAAATGCATGATTTGAACTAACCAGATGTTGGCTGATTTGTTTTTATTTTTCGACGTGTATTCCAGGATCAAAAGCAAAAAGTATTGTTGACGGTGTATGTAAAACCCAAAAATTTGTGAAATAAATAATTTATCTTTATTGTTATTTTATTTTAAGAATATATATGTATATATATATATATATATATATGTATATATTAAGTAAAAATAGAAGGTTGAAATAAGTTTAAAAGTCGGACCAAAAGTGAAGGAAGAAGTCAAGACATGGGTGAAAGTTGTCAATTCGCGGTAGTTAAGGGATTGGGTCGTGTGTAAGCAGGTCCAAACCAGAAGGACCTGTTTTGTAAAGGCAACCGACCTGCAATAGAGGGGCCTGCTGTCAACGATTGGGAGAGGCAGAAGAGGTACAGGCGGTGCCTGGTTCATAAAGGGAAACTGTGACCTGCCTGTTTGCAGGCTATGGAGAAAGCAACATCACAGCCTAAAACTCGGGATTCGGCCGATTTGGTCAACTAATAGGCCAAATCATTTGAGTATAAATTATGGGCACTGGTTTAGGGTCGCCATTCTTTTAAAAGAAGAAGGAAATCGTCGAGCTTGAGAGAGAAAAACCGGAGTTCAAGACCAGGCAAGAACCCCCTGTTTTCCCGTCATTTAGAGGTAAATGCTCAACCAAAATTTATGTTGTTACAATGTTTAGCTGTACCTTTGACCCTATGTAGAACTCTATGAAGGCCCACGTCCAAACTTCGTGTTTTAGAGTTCGAATTCAAAGTTTAGATTTCATTTGGTGAATATGCTGTATCGCGTTCTGTTTAGAAACCACTTTAAAGAAGGTTATACAGAAGCTCTGCATGAGAGCTCTGTATCAAGTTATATGGTACAGAAGCTCTACATGGGAGCTTTGTATCAAATTATGGTAGCCAGAAGCTCTATATGAGAGCTCTGTATCAAGTTGTGTTAGACATAAGCTCTGGAAGAAACCATAGAGGGGCTCTAGCCCTTAATGTTGAAATAATTTTAGTTAAGTCACAGAGGCTCTGGTCTTAGGTTCGAAAATATGTTCCAAGTCTAGTTAAGAACCAGAGGCTCTGGTCGCGAGACCAGAGGCTCTGGAAGATAGAGACCAGAGGGGCTCTGGCCCTTGAATTATTTTTCCAAGAATGGTTTGGGACCAGAAGCTCTGGAAGAGAGACCAGAGGGGCTCTGGTCCTATGTTGAAATAATTTCTAAGTGGCTAAGAACCAGAGGCTCTGGTCATGAAGACCAGAGGCTCTGGAAGAGAGACCAGAGGGGCTCTGTCCTTGATGTGAAATATAATTGCTATGATTCAACCAGAGGCTCTGGTCGTGAGACCAGAGGCTCTGGAAGAGAGACCACAGAGGGGATCTGCCTTGGTGATGTATTATTTTCTTATGGTGCACAAGCAGAGGGGCTCTGTCAATACAACCACAGAGGCTCTGGCCTAAAGGACTTAAGAGTCCAGAGGCTCTGGCCGTCCACAGAGGCTCTGGTCTTCTTCCAGACTTAGTCGTTTAAGGTATATAACTAGATGATACACCTTGTGTCTGAACTCACGTTCCTATAATTTTGTTGATGTGAAGAACGTTCTTAAGCATAGTTGACCAAGGTTGACCCTAGCCAATGTAGTTGACCGTAAGTTGACCTTTATGTTAACCTTTGGGAGAAATTAATCATTTATATGCTATTTACTATTATAAATTATAGGTTGCCAGACAGTGACGTTAGTTAAGCAATCTACGTTAACAAGTGAGTCTTCATGAGACTTACAATGGGATGCATACCTATGTATAAATTTATTTTCGAGCATTATATGATTTGTATGATAACGGGTACATATACATGATGTTTCAGTTTACATACATGATATATTTTACATGTATGTCATTTTATGATCAGTTGCATGCTACGTGTTTAAGCAGTTTTCAAATAACTCTAGCATGTTATATCATATGAAAGTTTTATGATCAGTTTTAGCGGGTGAGCATTTGACCAGCAAGTCAAAACTAGTATAAAACACTACCCGGACAAGTGGGTGATCAATTAAGATTGAAGTATCAACCCAGGGCGTGTTTGTGACTAAATGACTCACACCCGACAGACAAGTTATGAGATCTCTGTTATTTCAGTGCTGCATGTTTTTCAGAAAATGCATACTTTTGGTACAAAGTTTACAAGTTGATATGTATGATGTGAAATGATCTTTACTCACGCAAACCATGAACTCACTGAGCTTTATAAGCTGACTATAGTATACATCTCAGGGCTAGGTAGTTCGAGATTGGATAAGAGCAAAGGACACGCTTAGAGAGTCGCTACTTATCATCTTATGTTTAGTCTTTTAACGTTGTGTTGATCTTTGTAACTTAACCCGGTATGAGGTGGGTTAGAACTTAAGTAAATTTTTGAACGGTTAAAGGACCTCCGCTGTAAACAGTTCAAACGGTTTTATGTTAGCCGTCTTTTGGAGTATGTATTTAAGAATTGTTTCAGATTACGTGACATTCTCACAAAAAAAAAAATTGAGGGTGTTACAGTGTAACCATTGATAGGTAATATTATTGGTTGATAGAGTGTCTTCGACTATCGCTTAAGACCGAAGATTAGTTCAAAATAGTATCCGATAGATTTAATATCAACACATTTGGTGTATGTTTTTAAGTAGTAGTTAATGAACGCCGTGCTAATGCATGCTTTTAGTTTTGGGATTTGTATAGTGTATATGTAAATATAATTTACAGGATATAAAACAGGCAAAATGACGAATTTATGAATAGGTCATGTCAAAATGCTGGTAGAATTGCTAATATGGAAAGTAGGGTGTTACAAATAGATTCTAATTCGACACTCCTGATGTTTTCCCCACCTAAAATGTTCACATCTTTCGATCTATCTTTAATTTCCAAATGCCCATTGGGATGAATAACTCCGACGTCACCAGCGAAAAACCATCCTTTGTGGAATGCTTTTGCAGTCTCCTTCTCGCCTTTTAAGTACCCTTTCATGATGTTGCTTCTTTGAAGAACGATTTCTCCCACTGTTTTACCGTCGGATGGAACGCTCTCTATTGTTTCCTTCATCTCCACATTGACGTCGGAAGGTGTTAGGATTCCGACGCCTTGACGAGATTTCAGTCAGGAGGTGCCAAGTTTTTTTGAGTTCCCAAGGATCTTGTCTGTTCTAAAACCAGAGATGAAAACCAGATGTGGAAAACATCTGAACTGTGAAGAAAACGAGAGACAAAAACCATTTGAACTACGAAGAAAAACATAGACAGAAACATGAGCATTTAGGTTTTGATTTCAAGGTTTGAGTTGTGAAGAAGAAGGTTTTAGTTTGTATATTGAATTCATGGTTTTGCATTTGTGCGGATTTTTGATTTAAAATATCAATTTTTTGGAAGGCAGGTGAGGGGGAGTTGCCGGGAAAAGGGTTAATTGGCGGGAGATGGTTCACCATGGAGGGGGGATGTAGTTGGGGAATTGTTAAGAGGGACACATGTCACGTTTTAAGTGGATGCAATATTAGACTAAACTAAAATCTCGATCCTTGTGGTTTGTATAATATTAACTAGATTTTGTTATTTAAAGAAAAATGAGAAGAAAATGAAAAAAGTCTCAAATTCAATCGTTTTTACAAACCACAACAGCCATCTTGTAATTTTGAAATTGTATGGATCAAAAGTGTTATAACCAACAAACCACATGAACCAAATTTTTAGTTTACTCATTATATTACATTAATAGATTATATATATATATATATATATATCTGATTCCAAACAAATCTAGCACCTCCATCTCAAACAGTGTCAAAACTGTCCTCAACCACTTCTTCCAGCCTCTACCAACACATCTTCCTGTGATTGAACTCCCTTTTAACCTCTTCAAATGGCACAAATACAACCACTATGATTCATCCCTTCTTCCACGCTTGTTTTTTATTTCATCATTGTGACGGTTCATTCTATTCCACTACGTTTGTTTTCGATTCCATCAATGTGATGGTGTTTCGTATCCGATAATCCACTTCAGCTTCACTAACGTCAGATCAAATCTTCTTGTGGCTTTGTTTTTTGTTCTAGATTTAGGTCATGATTTTGGATTTGAGTTTTGTTTTTGGAATTAGGTTTTGATCTTAGAGGGTGTTTGGGATTGCTTATTTGAAATAACTTATGCTTTTCTACAAAAACACTTATCAACTTATTATAAGTCAGAAGAGTTTAACTTCTTCAAAAACTACTTATTATCGGTTTGACACCGGTATAAGTTGTTTATCCAAACACTCAAAAGGCTTATTACCGGTACCATACCGGAATAAGTCAATAAGTTGTTTTTATAATCAATCCCAAACACCTCCTTATATTTGGGTTTGATTTTAGAATTAGAGGCTATTATGGCTTTGTTTTTTATTTTGATTTTGGAATTCGGGTCTTGCTTTTATATATGGGTTTGATTTTTGATTTTAGATTTGAGTTTTTTTAACAGCGTTAGTTAGATGGATCAAATTCGAAACAAAATGATAATAAAAGGGACCAAATTTGTAATAAAGTAACAACCAAAGGACCAAAAGTATACTTTACTCAAAAATTTATCCATATTTACATGTACGATTTACATTTGACTCCATGGAAAATTGACTTTAAACAGTTTTCTACTTGGGCGGTAATGCAAACGTCCCCACACGTATCTTTTTTGAACACACACTCTCTCTCCTCCACGCTTTTTCCAAACGAACCTCTAGGGTTTCATCTTACTCTGCAACTCCATCTCGATCGATCTCAACATTTCAATGGCCGACGAACCAGTAGTTCCTTCCACGCCTCAACAACAACAACAACATCCACCTACGGCCAATGCCAACGCCGCTCCTCTTGGCCATAACGTCATCCCCATCGTCAACAAACTGCAAGACATTTTCGCTCAACTAGGCAGCTCCTCTACTATCGAACTCCCTCAGGTTGCCGTTGTAGGTAGCCAGAGTAGTGGTAAATCTAGTGTACTTGAAGCTCTTGTAGGTCGGGATTTTTTACCCAGGGGTTCCGATATCTGCACGCGCCGACCCCTCGTGCTTCAACTCCTTCAGATCAAGAGGAAGCCCGATGGTACGGATGAAGAGTATGGAGAGTTCTTGCACGTACCGGGGAAGAAGTTCTATGATTTCAATGAAATTCGCAAGGAAATTCAGGTGTTCTTTTCTATTATTTTGGCCTTTCTACATTTAAATTTTTTGTGTTACTAATCATATCGTTGTTGAACAGTGTTAATTCAAATTCCATATAGCATTTTTTTTTTTAATTTTCATCAATGAACTTCAGAAAGAACATGCCCTAGGCAGGTTCTGAAATAAATTAGGAATGGGCTCTTTGTTGGCCAATCTAGGGATATGCTGGACTGATCATTTTTACCCCTCTGTCAAAAAAAAGAGTCTCTCACATTACAGTTGTTTTTTGTCCCTAAAAAGGTGTTAATTCTAAGATGCAACACGCAGAAGATTTTCTAGATATTGTAATGAATACTGGAGGAAGTCATTTTGTCCCTAATCAAGTGTAAGGTTGTACAATGAATTGTTGTTCTACCCGCTTAAAGTAGATTTTCTTTCGGCCTACAAAGGGAGGAAGATATAAAAACTTGATTAACACTTAACCATTTGGCTCTCGCGGTCCAGCCTGTTATATTCGTATGCTATAGATCAAAACCATGTGAAATATCTAGTGATATGGACAAACTTTACATAACATATGTAAGGTTAGAGTCCAAAAGTAAGTTGCATTGACGAAAATCTTTGGTTGGCAAAGTACAACTGTCAACCTAGCAGAGTACTTCTGGTCTTTTTAGGACCTATAACCTGCCAAGTTTGAGTAATGTTGCCATTTTATCTTAATTTCACTTGGTTGCATACTTTCCCATGATGATTTATAGTTCTATACCAACAAATGGATCTCATATCACATCTTTATACTGTGTTGTCACGATGGACACAGTATTGCAGCATGATGCATAATTGCATACTCATACGCTGTGGTAGTAGGATCCCAACATTTCTTTGAGTCTGTTATTTGCCGTGAGTTAGCATTTACCTGACGGATGGCAGAAGTCGTTAGAATGGATGACAAAAGTTGCTCTTCATTATATTTACCATCTCTTTATTGCCAACTATATGCCACTTATCTAATTTAGCTGCATATTATGTTCTATGGTTAACATGAGAAAATTGCAAATAGTAATTTTATCCAGATCACCAGATGTCAACTTATACTCTTTGAAGTTACTTTTCTGAGAAAAATATCATAATTTGTAGTACATGGTGCCTTGATGTTTAAACCAGTTTACCTTTGAAAGAGCAATATGAGGTAAACCCAATGTTCAGATGTTTAAAGTTAGTTCCTGAGTCCAATTTTATTACTTCCAGAATAAGTCACATGTGATAGAGATTTGTTATCACATGCTAGCGGAGTAATCCTGTCTTTGAACTTTGGATCCATGTTATTTCAGCATTTAAATTGTGTAGCAACTATTGCTGGTGACCTCTTCAACCTTTTGGTTTCAATTTTACCACATGGAGCAGCATGGTGTTTGTGTATGGTGAAGTGCAATTTGTATGATATAGACTGCAAGTTGCTGGCAACTTTGTTTAGCAGATTTAACTGGAAACTTCTTTAGTTAGAAATTCTTCTTAACTCCATTATGCACCGGACATCTCTGCATCTTCAGGATAACAACTAAATGAATTAAATTCATTATACATCAATGAAAGAGCCGTGGCTCACGACAGTCGCTTCTTTATGAAGCTATGTATCTTGTTGCATGATCATCCACAGTAATTTGAAAGTGAAATTTAAAATCAAAGCATGGCATTTCACAATGCAGTGTTCATAGGCAAACCAATATATGATGTTCTTGCTGCAGTTCACTATCTTTGGCTTTCATTTCTCCTTGTCCTCATTGGGATCCTACATGTGTGAGGGCAAGGATAAACGGAAGAACTGCAACTCAAGCCTTGTATTGCATAGCTGATCGAGTAGGTTAAAAGTAAAAAGCGATAAGTCATCATAAAGTAAAAAGACTATAGAGTGGGTAAAGGTTAATTAACTTTTCTTCTCAATTTCTGAGCCTGGATAACACAATCTTTGTTGTGTCTGTCTCCCTTTGATCAAAACCTATACTAGTTAGAAAATCTGATGTAGTTGAACCCAAAAAGTTCAGTTTTTGATACTAATGTGCCTTCTAATCATACAGTTAGTCATTCTATTCGAGACTATGTTAAGTGTGATCAAGTAAACCTTGGATGATCATGAACCTTTAAATGGAAAGGTGAAGTATATTATATTTTTGTCAGGTAAGATTTGATCACTGACTTATTATTTGATGATCTGGATACTCTAGGCTGAGACTGATAGGGAAGCAGGAGGAAACAAGGGTGTCTCTGACAAGCAGATCCGTTTAAAGATATTCTCACCTAATGTTCTTGACATCACATTAGTCGACTTGCCGGGTATAACAAAAGTTCCTGTGGGTGACCAGCCCACTGATATCGAAGCTCGTATTAGAACAATGATAATGTCGTACATTAAGCTACCCAGCTGTTTAATACTTGCTGTGACACCCGCAAATTCAGACCTCGCCAACTCAGATGCACTTCAGATCGCTGGAAATGCTGACCCTGATGGTAGGTGTTGTCATTTATAATGATTTAAGTAGAATGATTTCTTGTTTGAGACGATCTCTCTAACATGATCTTTTTTTCCATATTTGTCAGGTTACCGCACAATTGGCGTGATAACAAAGGTGCAATATACAAAAATCCATAATCTCATTTTCAGTTAATTTTCTGCTGTTTATAGTATTTTTCTGACATGGGGGGTTATCCTATTTGTTGTTTTAGTTGGACATTATGGACAGAGGTACAGATGCTCGCAATTTTTTGCTGGGGAAAGTGATTCCCCTTCGACTTGGTTACGTGGGTGTTGTAAATCGTAGTCAAGAGGTAATATTTTTTTTGTTTAACACTTGAAACAAAATCTAATAAATATATTCTATTTTTTAGGGGTGGTACTCCTTTACTCTGCTGGGATTTCCCGGTTTTTATTTTTATGAAAGAAGGATACCTTTTCTGCTAATGTATGAAGACTATTAAAGCTTTAGAATGTTACAACTGTGGTGGTTTTCTTGTGTTAATTAATCTCACAACATATACCACATTCTTAAATAGGATATTATGTTCAACCGGACCATTAAAGATGCGCTTGTTGCGGAGGAGAAGTTCTTTCGCAACCGTCCGGTATATGAGATTTTCTTCTCTATCTAATGATATAGTGGTTATGATTCTTAAGCTATTTAACTAATCCTTGTTAGATAGGTTTATAGCGAGCTTGCTGATCGCTGTGGAGTGCCTCAACTGGCGAAGAAGTTGAACCAGGTATTTTGCATTCTGTTCAAGCCCTTTGGAGCTCACTATGTTAGTCATATGCAACTTGATTGGTCTCATTCACAACAATATTTTATCATCTCATGCTAGTACCTAATGTTCCTTATGTTGTTATGCATAGAGAACACCTGTTTATGTGTCAGGCATCAACTCAGATCAGGCTGGTATTTGAGGAATCTCTTTTGCACAGGCATGAGGTGATATTTGCTAAGATAAAATGTGATACTCATTCATTTCTTCGTATTTGCAGATTCTGGTACAACATATCAAAACAGTGCTACCAGGGTTGAAGTCGCGCGTTAGTGCTACATTAGTTTCTGTGGCGAAGGAGCATGCTAGCTATGGAGAGATCACAGAGTCAAAGGTAAGCCAAAGGAACTATTCTGTAGTTGAATCTCGAGCATGTCTGAGTTGGTTGATTGATCTTGTTCAATGACTTTTCAATGGTGATTATGGATTCAAATAATTGTGAGAAGGGGGGGGGGGGGGACGCTAGCCTTGAAAATATTTTGGCTCCTAATATCTATATTTGATTATCATGGACCTGAATCATCTATACCCCCTACTACAGCGAGAGGAAACCTTATAATAGCAATATAAATAAGGTACATTGATTAGAATCAGAAGATTTATTTTTGCTGTTCAAAGTAGGGATCATTAATTGTGACTTGCAAGTTGATCTTGCATATTATAGTAAATCATCAACTGCATGATTTTAGGCTGTCTAAACAAGGAATATTTGTATTGGTACACACTTTTGTTTATATCAGTGTACTTTATTCACAGTCATAAGCTTAATTGGTTTTCTTGCATTTTAAATTTACCCTTTAATAATTTGCAGGCCGGCATGGGAGCTCTTCTTTTAAATATTCTTTCAAAGTATTCAGAAGGTCATGCAGCTTTTCTTGTCTTTCAACTTTTTAATGTTAATTGGAGCCAAATTTGTGTATTTTTTGGTAAATTTTGGATGCTTGATCTGATAGATGATCTGTTGATTCCTTTAAACAGCCTTTTCTTCGATGATTGAGGGAAAGAATGAAGAGATGTCGACATCTGAGTTGTCTGGAGGAGCAAGAATACACTATATTTTTCAGTCGATATTTGTTAAGAGTTTGGAGGTGTGTTTAGTATAAGTTTATCTACAAATATGCATGTTATTTTTAGTTTTGTACACTGAAATCCCTTTATTCTAGCGGATTCATTTGTTAAAGCATCTTTCTGAATCTGGTAGATTAATTTAATATAAGGCACATGTTACTGTTTCATGAGTAGATCTTTTTTTTCTATTAATTGTAAATGGAATCTCTATCTGGATAAATATTGTAAGTGAAGTTGATGTTGAGCATAGCTGCTTTTCCTACTGCAGGAGGTTGATCCTTGTGAGGACTTGACTGACGATGACATTCGAACCGCCATACAGAATGCAACCGGCCCTAGATCCGCATTATTTGTACCTGAAGTAGGTCTTGCTCTGTACTCATCAGTTTTTTTAATCATTTGTGGCTGGCTGGCTGCTTAGTATCTGCATCCTTCTAATTTTATCCCACCGGATGTTTTATTATATTGGTTAAATATGATGCTTAACATGCATTTGCAGATTCCATTCGAAGTTCTTATTAGAAGACAGATTGCCCGTTTATTGGATCCAAGTGTTCAGTGTGCAAGATTTATTTACGATGAGTTAATAAAGGTCGGCTTAATTAAAATCTTTCCTTTCATTGGGACATACTGCATTGGATGCTGATTGCTGTTTGTGTGCCTCAGATGAGCCATAATTGTATGGTCAATGAGCTACAGAGGTTTCCTGTTCTCAGGAAGCGGATGGATGACGTTATAGGGAATTTCTTGCGTGATGGTCTTCAACCTTCTGAGACGATGATTGGGCACATTGTTGAAATGGAGGTATACTTGAAATACCTCTTACAGGAGGCATATTATCATTGTTATTACCACCTACTTTCATGTCATGTAAAAGAGATAACACGTTTCCTGTATGTCTACAAGTTCATAAGTAAGATGATGTTATAATGATTTATAGTGTAATAATGAATGCATAATCCCCAATCAGCACTTCTGTAAGTAAAGACATAGGGATTTCATGATGGAGGATTTCTCTTACTTTGCGTAGACTAAGGACCAAGGAGAAGACTTGCATCGACTTCGTTTACTAAAAATATAAATGACAGATTTTGAATATTAATGGCAGGATTGTTTGCCTGAGAGGATTGCTCAAGTGTAATGAAATGGTTAAGTAGTGAATAAATAATTGCCACTTGCCCTTGTTACTGTTTCAAAGCTTCAGTTGTCTGCATATGTGCATTCTGTTTGAAAGTAGTGGGGTTTACAGCTATGGCGGTAATCATCTTCGTAAGGTGGCTTTAGCAGTCTTTTTGTTTCTGATAACTTTATTAGTTCTAGACTTGTAGTTTTTTTGGCATTTTGTGCTTTTTTTTTCTGTGTAACCAGTCTCCATTATATAGTTGTTATATGTAAGCTGTCTTATCTGATATCTTTTGCAGATGGACTATATAAACACTTCGCACCCGAATTTTATTGGTGGGAGTAAGGCCGTAGAAACTGCAATACAACAAGTCAAGTCTTCTAGGGTTACAATTCCAAGGCAGAAGGTGTAACTATAAATAGTGTGATATTATTTTTGCATATTTATCCACTTGTAGATGGCCTCTTCTCTAACTATCGGTCACATTTTTTGGTTGGTCAGGATGCTGCCGAGCTTGACAAAGCTTCACAATCTGAAAGAGGTATTAAGTCGCGTGCAATTCTTGGCCGACCAGTCAACGGATTTGTTACAGAACAGGTTGGTTAAGTGTTATGCATATATGAATATTTGGTTGTGTATACAAATATTTTGCGTCCATTCCTTCATTTGTTTCCTTTTTCAGTGTCATTTTGTGGTGTGTAGCCTGTGTATTTTTATGTAGCCTAAGATTGTCCCAAGGCAAGATAAATTAGCTGATACATTATATGTTCCTCTTCCATGATGAAATGAAACCATTCTCATCTTGTGGGCCCCATTTCAACAAGTAAATAAACATAATGATATTCATATCATGGTGATGACAAATGGAGGAAAATTGGTTGAACTGACACAGCCATAGTGTTTCTATCACTTTCATGAACATCACATGCTTTAATTTGTCTTGTTAGTTACTGTGCTAAGTTTTGTTGATTTCAACTTTGCAGCAAAATCAGCCTGGGTCTCGGCCGGTTGGCGAGGTTGAGAAACCGACATCTGGTAAGGTCTTGCTTTCAAACTTGGACATAACAAAAAAAGCAAGACTGGGCTTATAATTTTAACTGCCTTTGTAATTCCCTCAAGACGTCTGATTGCAGCTATAATTGAATCTTCTGTTGCAGCATTCTTGATTTTTAAATCTAGTTACTGAATGAATAATCTTTTTTGTTGTATGTAACCATACACGCCTATCTAAATTAGGTCCTATCTAAAATATTATCACCAAAATTGGAGTGTGCAGTTTAGAAAATCAATGAAAAAGCAGCGATTCAAGTTCAATGCATTATTGATGTAAATATGCTAAATATTAAGTTGTTTGTCAGTTCAACAATTCTTTCTCTGAGCTCTGGCTTTGTGAATTTACTATGAGAAAAACAGTTGTGAAATTTTGATGCCTGTGATCTTTTCAGGAAGCACAAGCTGGGGGATCTCATCAATTTTTGGTGGGTCAGATAATCGAAATTCTAATAAAGAGAACTCTATAAACAAGCCATTTAGTGAACCTGTTCATACCATGGATCATATGGATTATGCGTCTTCAATGATCCACTTAAAGGAGGTATGGTTTTAATCTTAATACTCACTGATAGAAGTGATTAGGATAGAAATGCTGATATCTGCTTGACTTTTGGTATAGCCACCTACCGTTTTGAGGCCCTCTGATGCCAATTCAGATCAAGAGGCTATTGAGATCCATGTTACGAAGTTGTTGCTGAGATCATATTATGATATTGTCCGCAAGAACATCGAGGACTATGTGCCCAAGGCCATCATGCACTTTCTGGTAATTGTGACATAACCAGCCTTTCACTGATCTGTTCATTCTTTCTTTTGACTTCTTTTTCTCTTCTCAGAGGAACATCAGTTCTAGTTGCCTGTTATAACCTTCAATGTGAATATTACATTCAAAGCCACAATCATGAAAACATGTATCCAATCAAACCAAGTTGGGATGTAATTCTTTGCGATTGAAAGAGTATCTTTTATGGATTTGATGCTTCAGATATAATGATCAAATTGTAGTCTCTTTTGCAATTCGAAATATCATATTTTTGTTAAAATTATCAATTATAATAGCAAGTTTCCATGTAATTTGAAGAAATAATATCATTATCCTTTGTACTTTGTTGCTACTTACATGGCTTGTGAGTCCAGGAGCAATATTTGTTTTTGCGTGGGCAAAGTTCATCTGACTGTCTATATCTTTTTGATCCAATATCAGGTTAACCATACGAAAAGAGAGTTGCACAATGTCTTCATTAAGAAGTTGTACAGGTAATATAGGAAAAACGGACATTGGTTTCCGTGCGTTTCTAGATTATCCACTGTAAATTTATTCTCATCTGCTGGCCAATGGGTCTTTCATCTGTTTTTTGGTTGGAAACGTAAGAGGCCGTTTACCAAACACTTACCCCGTTAAGCGATTATCGGTAAAATTTAACACCATCACTTAGGGACTGTTTACCAAACACTTACCCAATAAGCGCTTAACGGTAAAATTTAACACTATCACTTACTTAGCGGGTAAAATGTTAGTCCACCAAAACGGCATCGTATGCAACAATTTACCCGGTAACGCTAAACGTGGTAAGGGTCGTCTCCATCACTTACTGGGTAAGACTCTCAATCTTTGCCTTCGTTTTTTCTTTTTGAAGTATATAATATATACGGCAAATAGAATAAATAAACTCACACCCTTTTCACCTACCGGGTAAGATTCTTGGTCCTTGCCATATTCATCCGGTAAGGTAATGTGACTTTGTAATCACTTACCTGAGTAAGCGTTTGGTAAACGGCCCCTTAACTGTTTTATTCACCCATGAATGATTTCTGCTCTTACTTTGATATTGTTTAATCCAGTTCTAATAATAAGTGGGTGGTGTGGTTTGGACAGAGATGATTTGTTCGAACAAATGTTGCAAGAACCTGATGAGGTTGCAGTAAAGAGAAAGCGCACCCGGGATTTGCTACGTGTTCTCCAACAAGCTTTTCGGGTAGGTTTTTGCTACCTGGCATCATTTCTATTTGATTAAACTTCTATTGGTTGATCTGCCATATGATTGACTTATTCAGCCATAAGTTGCATCGCAATGCTTGCAGCTTTAAGTACAGACTCATTCTTTAGTATTGGAGTTCTTTCAGTCTTTATCTATTTGATGGCCTAAACAAGATTTGGTGACCCTTCTATATCAAATAAATTTGTAAGTTCAATCCTACTGCTTCGACGAACAAACAAATTATCACAAAGACGGGAAACAGAGACAGATGGATGCCATTTAACCGAGTCTGTTTCTCCTTTTGCTTGCCATGTCGGATTCTTCTATTTAGATACGTTGCCATCATAGTTCTATTTTCATTGTTGTATGAGGGAAGTACTCTTGGTTTTAGTCCAAGATGACAGACGGAACAAAGTTAGACTGCATTCAGAGGCTTCGTTTATACGATTTCCTGTTAATTTAGTTTCATCTCTTGTGTATAGACATTAGATGAACTACCACTGGAAGCTGAAACAGTGGAGAGGGGTTACAGCTTAACCAATAACGATCCAACCGGTCTGCCAAAGATTCATGGACTCCCAACCTCATCAATGTATCCTTCCACTAGTGGTTCAAGGGACTCCTACACTGCATCTCCAAATAATCAAAGATCACGTAAGTCTCATTCAGGAGAGTTGAATTCACCTTTTTACGGGAATATAGAGTCAAATGGGAACAATCGCAATTCTTCCCTTCTTGGTCTTTATCCAACACACGATCTGTAAACCCACAAGAAGCAAGTCAAGAAACACAAAATTCCTTGGATTTGTACGTGAAACAACTTAACATATGGCTTATGGCTTATGGTAGAATACAAGACGCTGTTGTCGTCTTTATGGGGCTTTTATCGTAGACTTATATTCTTTTTGTATTCACATTGTTTTTCTGAGCTCCAATGGGAAAACCGGAGCAGTTCTGAATACCACAATTTCTCTTCGCCCTTCTTATAAAGAAGTCAATAAGCCTGGGACTGTTTGTTGTCAAATATTTGGGAAGGTTACAAGTGTAATTGGAAGGCTATATGTACAGTTTTGCATTTTGGGTTCCATTTATCATATGAATGGTTGTGATTTTCTATTATTTTACACTGAAAAACAGTGATTTATTTGATTTTGACTAGAGTTGACATTGGATTTGGTCCTTGATTTCGAAGACATTTACGATGTGTATGGCTGTTGACTGTAGGTTCATATTCATGAACATTGGTCAGCAAGGAGGCTGGATTGATATGCTACCAAGCTCTCTTGGAACAAGTATTTTTTGTTCTGAATTTTGATCCAAATTGCAATTACAATAACAATATAGTGTTTTGGCTACTTGAGAGTTGAGGTTTGACTTTGGGTGGTAAATGCAACAAATAAACTCATACACCCTTCTTACCTTTTGTGAGGTTTGAAACCTTTACCTCTTATGAGGCCAAAGGCTACGACACCGCTAGGCCAAAGACCCTTTGGTTGTGTTTTATGTATATTACAATGAGATTGAAAACCCTTTGAATGATAGTTTCTCGCCAATTAATTTGAGGTCGTTAAGTAATTATTTGAAGATTGTCAAATAACCACTAACGGATAAAATCAAAGCGTTTTTGCACCTAAATTTATAAGACTGACTTGTCTTCTGAATTCCTAGTCCTACAATCTGAAATGAATTTCAGAATGTTACACATCTCCTGAATTAAAGTTTAGAAAGTCCACATGCCTATGAATGGAAGTTTAAAAGGCTACATGCTTTATGAATTCAAACTTTAAGGGTTGTTTGTTTATCTCTTAATAGTTTCATTAAAAGGCAGACTCTGAATTGTTAAGAGGTAAATCTTATTTGACAAAAAAAGAGTCTGCCTCTTAATGGTTCCAAAACCCTCCTAATGGTTTTGTATCATAGGCATCCCTTAACCATTCAGCGCCCTAATTTCATTGTAAACAGTTCCCAAACAATTATATTTCATTTTGAACTATATCATGAGAGTCTCTTCATCATTCTGATAACTTAATCATTCTGAAACAAATCATTCAGCAACTGTCAAACAGTCCCTTAGTGTATACTATTTAGGACGGGTGCTACCCAACACCATGCTTGTTGATCGGCCAATGAGACGAATGCCAAGGGGGCATGCCCCCTTAACCCCAGTTTTGTGGCGATCTTAGATCCACGGTGGCTTACACAAGCTTGTCCAACGCACCTCCAAATTTATATTATATCTATTTGTCAACGGATTGGTTAAAATGAACCGGGCATAGAGGCCCATTTAAATGTTTCATGCCAATTACATATTTTGTGCTAAAGATCTTAAGCAACGAGGCTAAAATCAGTTATATGCCATACCGATTACATGATGACGCTTTTTGAGATGTATCCACATGTGCTTGCAATTCTGAACCACCACAACAATGGACGTAAAAATGTCTACCTTCTTACCTGCTAGGTTAGCCACCGACACAAAGGCACATTTGATGCCACATAAGCAAACCCATGAACCATTCTTTACCAAAACCAAGGAAAAAAGGTATTATAGACAACGATGTTTGTTAACCCAAGCATCGGACAGGTTGCTCGTAATGTGGCTTCAGAGCTCATCAAGTTGGATTTCAGGTTAAAACCTTGATACTGTGATGTAAAACCTGACAACCAACTCCTAACACTTATCATTTTCTGAAACCACAAAAGGAAAAAAGCCAACGTTATACAAACCCATGACGTTCAAAGTATTACAATCGCTTTCCTGAAAGAATGTCATCGGCCGTAAATCTTCAGAAAACTTGTTGGTCATTGTTGGTCAGCAAGTATGAATGCTTGAAGAAGGCTCTGAGCTGATTGTGTTTCATCAGGTGTACCGGATATGATAACAGTATGGTCGGTCGTTCCTGACCCAGGTTCATGCACTACGACCTTTGCGCCCGAAATCTGGTTTTATGCACCACAAAGTGGAACAATTCACATGTGAATTTGCAACAAGATTAGATATCATAGACCAGAATAAAGAATCATCAATTTATATGCTAAAGAATTACTTTGAAGACGTGTTTTCTTGTTTCCATATCTGTTTGACCTATTTCTCCCTAATGCGGTTTTTGATTTTACTGTACCCATTGCTTGTTTGCACATACTCTCGCTTGTAGCCTGCTCACTTGTTTCTTTTTATTTTTGTTTCAAGCAGAAGATATTCACGAAAAGACCTCTCAACCTTGGAGGTGGAGGCAAGGTATCCTTACATCCTACCCCCGACCCTACCTTTACAGGGTCCGTTTGGTTTTATTTGGTTTGGTACCATACACAAATTTCTGACTTCTTTATAGCCCTTCCTGAATTCATGGGGGTGTTAAAACCTTAGAGAGTTTGTAGTGACACAATATAACCTTTTAGACAAATTAGGAATGTTGAAACCCCAAAAACAAGGTGGTAGAAGAGCATTGAACTGTAAGCACGAAAAAACAAGAAAATATTGCAACTAATATGGAACATATTGTTACGGTTTCATGGGTTCATGGAAGTGTTTGCTAGTGCACAAGAGCATTGTACTGTAAGTATCCAAGCAAAGAAACAATACAATTTATCGGATAAAAAAAGAGGAAAAAGGGAATTAACAAGTTGCCTATTGTCATCATTAGAGAATGTGACGATATTGATTTTGAACCACAAGAATACTGATCAACACTGAACAATTTGGATTAATTGCTCAATGATTTCTTATGATTGTATGCTAACAAATTCAGAAATGGAAACAAGGGTTGACATCATTTCGAGAGAGCTGGATCTCTCCCGGGCTCACACCAGACAATTCACAAATCCGATACCCCTCTCCTACTACCCTCTCACCTATTTAACAGACCACCCACTGATACTATTCCCTTTTTACCCCTTTGTAACAATATACTCACAATTCCTATGTTGCCACTAGCTATTGCACCCTTATTTACCAGCTTCGACTCCAGGGTATAACAAATATCCCTTATTCGTCAATACTGAGATATTTTAGACATTAATGATAACAGTCAACCATTTTTGTAAGATTGTGTTAAATAAGACATTATGGGATGGATGAAGTATACTACTGTATTGTGTATTAAGGGCATGTTTAACTACCAACTGAACCCTTCTCAATGGAAGTTCCAAATCCTGTTTATAACTAATTAGATTTGATAAAATGGCAGTCGTACAAGACTGAAATATCATTCTAGTAAAGGACAAAGCTTATATATCAGGCAATAGACATTTTTCAGCTTCCAAAACAATCACTTAAATCATGAATTAGAAACTAATATTTTGTGGTCCACAGAAACAAACTTTGTACCTGTCTTAGACGAGTCAGATTGCTTCCATTCTCCCCATAAATCGACCCAATGACATTTTCAGGAACCACAATTTCCACAGTCGTATTTCTTACAATGGCAGATCTACCTCCTCTGCAAACACCATTCGTTATAAGAGTTTGGTAAGTAAAGATCAACATTCATTTGCTCATAATTTGCGGTCAAGTTCTATACGAAATCTGAAGTTGTTCATTATTCTCTTATACAAATTGGATTCAGAATTCAATATCTGTCTAGAATATAGTTATGTACATGATGCTATTGGTCAAGTCAAGATTTGACTTGCAGAAAACTATATCTCCTATGTGAATGTGTGTATGATGACGTTAATTGTTAAGAAGGCGATGAATAAGTAATTCGCTCAAACCAATACCACCAGGATCGGGTATACTTGGAGGTTAGGTTACTGATAGTAACAAAAGAGGACCCTACAAAATAAAATAAAAACCCCGCTAGGAATGACACTTCAAACTTTTTTATTTTCTTGAATGTGCATATCACATGGTTAAAAATACATATAAATGGTAGTTTGGTGCAGTAATTTATTATCAGATTTTGCCGCAAAATGTTTCTTATGATGATGATTGGTAAAACAGACTAAAAGCATAGTTATTGGTTCATTTAACCCTAAAAACCATGTTTATAAACGTCAAGGCGGCATCCGATGCAAACCTGCCAAGTTCAATGCCACCTTTAGCGGAAGTTGATCCTCTGTCAACGTCCTTTCCTTTCATCGGATTTACAGCTCCTGCCTACAATCAAAACACTACTTGAAATGCTAGGCCACAGAATAGAAAAAGAAGAGAGAAGATGACACTAGCATAAAAGGAAAAAAGGCTACAATAAACAAAAAGAAATGTTACTTGAGATTCCCATGGCCTGGAGGATGAAGGATGATCGACATTACTGAAGGGCCTAAGATTATCCATACTCTGCGTTAAACTTGTATGCTGATTTAGATGTTGAGGAGTGGCCATGGAATGACCAACTCCTTGTCCTTGTCCATAACTGCTCCTGGTTTTAGGGCCATTATACATTCGAGTGGAGAAGAGGTGGTTTCGCAGCCTGCCAGTCACACTGTACAAAGCATCTCGTACATTTACAAACTCTCCTGTCATCTAACGAACCAAAAGTTCATTCAATTTACAATTAGATAAGGTGGAGAACTACAAGATGCTTGCGTGAGATCAGAATTGTCCTAGCAGTATCCGGGTTACCAGTAGATACTAACCTCCCTAAAGGTCAAAGGTTCAAGCATCACTAAGGGGGCGTTTGGTTCACAGAATGGAATGTGGTGGAATTGAAATCCATCAAAGGAATTTGACTTTCAAGGAATAGGAATGGAATTTGACCCACGTTTGGTTGATGGTAATTGGAATGGAACCTTGCAAAAGAATAGAAATATGCATCTATGAGGGGTGGGGGTGATGGTTGTGACGGCGACAATAGTGATGTGGTGGTGTTAGGGGGTTAGAAGTGGAGGCGTAACAATGATAATAGTAGCGTGGTCATGGTGGATACGGGAGCAGGGGGTGGGCGGNCTTATTTTAAATTTATTTTTATATTCCCTTTTTGATGATGGTGATTAATGAATATAAAGTGGCATGGTGGTGTGATGGGAGTGGCAGTGGTGGAATGATAATATTAGTTGATGGTGGTGGTGGAAATGGTGGCGGTGGTGGATATGTTGCTAGGCCAGGGGGGGGGGGATGGTGGTTAAATTGAATGCGAAGGTTATTTTTGTCATTCTAAAACAAAACTATAAATTATGTTACATTTGCCACGATATGGAATTCAAAATTTTCACATATGCTAAGGAATGATCAAATCCCTCAACCGTGGAATTCGGTGGAATCCAATCAATTCATTCCACGAACCAAATATCATTAAGGAATTTGTCATTCCAATTCCATCAAATTCCTTTGAATTCCATGAACCAAACAGCCCCTAAAGGTGAGGAGTATATAAATATTATAATACTTTAGAAAAAGAAAAATATCTCACCAAAACTACTTGATCGGCCTCCGAAGTACATCCTGAGACTTGGTGGATTGGAACTATCTTTATCACAGCACCAGTTACCTTTCTCATGTCTGCGATTATGGAACCACCTTTGCCCAACAGGCAACCAATTTGGTTGGGCATAATCAAAAGTCTAGCCGAAATAGGCGTTCTTGCTGACGGTGAGTCCAACCCCCTCTCGTAGCCAGCCTCCACAGACCTATTGAAAACAAGAATGATAGCGTTTTGTGCAGCCGAGTTCTGTGACTCTGGGCTCTACAACAGACAGAAAACAAGAACTAAATAAACTAAAAAGCCTACAATAAAAGAAATTCTTGATGATGTGAAATATCCAACTAACGAACCTCCATAGCAGTAACAGTGATTAACCGATCATCACAATCAGATGTTGGAGCTTCAACTACTATAGAAGCACCCGATTCATTTTGAAGGGCCCGAACGATTGTCCCTGATTTGCCTATCACACCGCCTACCCTATCGGTTGAACAGAGGATACGAAAAACTATTTCATACTGAGATTGAGGGTTTCTGAAGTCCACTGAAGGAGCAATTTCAGCATCCGATGATACAAGAGGCCGACCTCCTATAGCATGATTAGCAGAGCTGGCTGGTGTGGGTTCTAAGATGGGTGTTCTTCCTGGCGAGAAATCCATATACCCGTTTGGTAATGTGGTTTCCCATGGCCGATGATTAGCAGAGCTAGTTGGTGTAGCTTCGGAGACAAGATTTCTTGCCGGAGAGAAATCCATATGCCCGTTTGGTAATGTGGTTTCCCTAGTAGCCCCATAGGGCGGTCTGCCGAAAACCATCCTTGCTTTATCAGAAGAGGGACAATCTTGAAGACGACGAGAGATGGCAACAAGTGCCCTTTTAATGGCCAAAATATCACCCTCAATCTGCCACAAGCATAAAACTCACATGCATCACCAAACCTAACTCCAAAAATATAACACAGATTGAACACAATCCCTCTATAAGGCTAAACTTACTGTCTTTGCTTTTTATCAAACACTTGTTAGGCAACTACTAAGAAAAAGTAAAACATGTTAAAAACATGGGGATGGAAGAAAGAAAAGAATGAAAACATCTAAGATCTTGCATACTAACCTCAACCATTTCATCCGTGGGCATGGCGCAAGGGGGCAACCTATCTTGACCAAATATTCTGATCCTACACCCAGTATCTTTCCTGATTTTCTCGACCACCTTCCCACCTTTCCCGATCACAGACCCAACAAGAGCCGTGTCCGCAAGCAATCTACAAGAAACAATACCCCCAGGAGCAAAATAGCCTCCATCAGTCTCGGCAGCAACACTCAAAATTCTCTCATAAACCCTAACTAACGCCTCTTGTGCAGCCGAAACCTCTCGATACTCGCTACTTTCTACATAACCATTGTTTTGTTGATTAGTTTCTTCGTCAAACGTCATTGTTCTATTGACGGAGCAGTTAGCGACGACGGAGATAACACGATCGTCGGAGCCCGGCGGCGGGTCCTCAACACGAATCTTCGCTGACGTGTCTTGTTGCAGCTGTTTGATGATAACACCGGATTTTCCGATGACGCCGCCAATGCGAGAGTCGTGGCATAAGAGGCGGAAGCAGATGCAGCCAGCAGGTATAGTAAGCGGAGGTTGTGGATTCTTGTTGCGCTTGACGACGGGTGCAGCCTGGGAAGTGTTGATAGGTTCGAACATTGTGGATGGTGGGGCGGCGGTGGTGGTGGCGGCAGTGTAGATTGGAAGAGAGATGAACGGAGCTTCGTTCATCCCTCTGCTACATGAGGTTGAGGTACCTCTCTCTCCGGTGATATCTGACGACTGCGGTGTCAAATGAAATCAAATCAATACTTGATTGAAAACGAAACCTTGGTTCTTAAAATACCCAAAGAGTCGATCATCCAATCTCTTCAATCTCTTTCTAAATCGGGCATAAATATGAGAAATTTATAAAAATAACCGGTTTACATAACTATTTGCCATAAAATAACCATATTTTAGAAATTTTACTGGAATGGCCATACGGATCGTCCTCGGGGGCGATCCGTACATTATGGGGGCGATCCCCCCTTAAGTCTTAAAAAAAAATAACCCTCAAAAGTCGAGATTACTGTTCATTCTCGTTGACCGTGTTTGACCTCGCCCCCGAGGCGATCCGTACTGTCCGATCGCCCTTCCCGGGGGCGATCCTGCTATTTTTAATTTTTTTTCGTTTTTTGGTATTTTTAATAAAACTGATACGTCATTGAAGTTGTATTTTTTAACTTTTTTAGAACCAAATTTCATGGGTAAAACTTTAAAAATAAATCTTTTGTAATTATGGAGAATCAAAAATTATTTTTATCTGTTTTAGGTTTCGTAAATCAGATATAATATATGATTGACGAAATTTGACCTCTATTTTGTCATTTTGTGTTTTTTATTAAACAATTAATGGGTGTTTTTAATAAAAATGGAAAAATACATAAAGTGTGTCTTTTTACATATTTAATTTCAAATTTCACGGTTTTTCGTTATAAAATAACTGGATGATTGATTGTGTTTAGTGGGTTAAAGGTTGTGATGGTTTATTGTGTTTAATGGGTTAAAGGTTGTGAGAGTAAAATATATGAGAAGAGAAATGGAAGGAAAGGTGTGAAAAATTATGAAGTAAGAGGTTGGTATTTATAGTAAAATTGGTATTAAAAAAAAAAATCAAATTTTTTTTAACCCGGATCGCCCCCCATACAGTACGGATCGCCCCGGGGGCGAGGTCAAACACGGTCAACGAGGATGAACAGTAATCTCGACTTTTGGGGGTAATTTTTTTTAAGACTTAAGGGGGGATCGCCCCCATAGTGTACGGATAGCCCCCGGGGGCGATCCGTGTGGTCATTCCGGTAAAACCTCTAAAATGTGGTTATTTTGTGGCAAAGGGTTGTGTAAACCGGTTATTTTTATAAATATGACACAAATTATGTTTGAAAAATTACAAAATTAGTCCCTCGGTTTTGTTGATTCTAATACTCTTCGTTCTTATAGTTTTAAAAATGTTCAAATTTGATCCCTTTGTTCAAATTAGTCCCTCACAACTAGAGGTGGCCAAAATTCGGTCCCGGACCGGGCCTAATCGCGACAAAAACCGGCGGTAACCGGTCCCGACATAACCAGTCCCGGTCCCGGTCCCGGTGATTTTCCTTGTAACCGGTCAAGGTTATTAGTAACCGGTTGTCCCAACCAGTCCCGGTCCCGGTCCCATAACCAGTCCCGACCTGGCCTATTCAAAAAAAAAATGATTTTTTTTTAAATTTTTGGTTATTAATAAATTTTTAATATGTTATTAATATGTTTGTAATATGATATTTTGAATATGTTTTATTATAAATACATTTTACTATAAATACGTTTTGTTATATATA